GCCTACACCCTAAACCCAGGAGTCCTACACTTAAAGCCTAAGCCCTCAACTCAAAACCCTAAAGCCCCTAAACCCTAAACCCTCAACTCTAAACTCTAAACCCCTAAAACCCCGAACCCTAAATCCCACAACCCTAAGCCCTAAACCCGAAAACTGAGACCTTAAGCCCCAGACCTGCCGACACCTTTTAGACTCCCAGGCTCAAAGGCACATCCGGGAAGGTCGCTGCTAAAGACGCCCTGATCTTCATGGAGAAGAGAGCCTCGAAACTGTTTAGGGTTTAGGGTTCGGTTTAGGGTTTAGGGTTCGGTTTAGGGTTTAGGGTTTAGAGTTTAGGGTTTGGGCTTTTGGCGTAGGTTGCAGTAGACAATAAAGCATATAATATAGTAGCAGATGTTGAGAGATTGTAGATGATAGCAGGTTATCGTCTATTACAGCTTGGGGCTTAAGTGCTTAGGGTTTCGAAGGGGACGAAAGTTCCGGGATTGGGGTTTAGGGGTGGTATGGCTTGGAAATTAGGAAGTCGCGTTCAGTGGTCAGGTCAGGTAGTTCTGAACTTCAGAATTTTTAGTGGTGTTTTGCTATAAAAAAAACTAAGCCTTGAACCCTAAACTCTGAACCCCAATGACTAAACCTCGAACCCTAAACCCTGAACCCTAAACCCTGAACCCTTAACCCTAAAGCTCTTGCGTGGGCAGTGAGAGAAGTGAAGACGTCAGGGCTGAAGGAAGGGAAACAAGGCTTGGTTCGCTTTTTTTTGGGGCCTTAATTATCAGAGCAGGGTTCTTGGGGCCCATGATGCAATGGGTTTAGGGGTTTAGGGTTTAGGGTTTAGGGTTTAGGGTTTAGGGCAATGATTGTAGTAAGGAATCCCAGAAATAGTATTGGTAATTCTTTGTGCTTCTATACTACATGCCCATGTGTCATTCGCCCCGAAGGCTCTACTAGAATGCCTAACCCTAAGGGTCCAGGTATCCATATGAGTATACTTTGACCCTAAAGTACCCATATAGGGACTACTTTAAGGCCTAAGTATCTCTAGTTGGGTACATGGAACCTTCCGCGAGAAGCCCAGCTGCCAGTCAAGTAGGGAAATGTCTTCGGGCCTAAACACCTCGAGCTCCCTATCTAGCTAAGCAGCCAACCAACTTTCGATCTATCTATCTATCTGTCTACCTGTACCTATCATGCCATTCCGTTCGGCTTGTTCCATGCTGTTCTGTGCTATTCTAGTCTATTCGAGTCTATCTTTTCTTTTCAACTCTGCCCCGCTCTACTCTAGTACTTTGACTTTCCTTTCAAATCTTTAAAAGTTGGTGGGGCTCGAGGGAATGCTGTCTTTAGGGGCCCACAAAAGGACACAAGCATCATCATGTTACAAAGATATACCTTATTGGGCTTCATCTTCAGCGGATCTATACTTGATATCCCTATTGGGGCACCTGTGGCCCCTAAGACCTACCTTATTTAGGAAGTATATATATAGAAAACATAATAGGGAACCCCAAAAAAGGTAGGCCTCGTCGGCTGCAGGTAGTCTTGGGCCCAAACAGTCGATGGCATCCCGGACGCAATCGCAGTGGCTGACTGGGCAGGGTCGCTTGCGAGTAAGTGCAAGAAACCGCGACAAATCCAATCCCTAACAAAGCCGAACGGTATACCCTCAAACCTTAAACCTTAAATCCCAACGTGTACGTATGTATGTTTATATATATATATGTATGTATATATACATATGTATGTATACATGTATATCCTAGACATACGCACACACACATATCTGGAAATCTATATATATATATATGTGTGTATATATATATATGCATATATATATATATATATATTCATGTATGTATGCAGTATGCATGCATGCATGCATGCATGCATGTATGTATGTATGTATGTACGTATGTATGGGAATTTGGGCCTCTTTGGGAAATGGCCCGGTTACAAGCTCTACCTCTCCTTCTGGCATCTGCTACAGCGGTTGCTATTGCTGCTGCTGCTGCATATCTTCAGGGCAGCTTTCGAGTCTTGTTTATGTTGCTGAAGCTGGTTATGACGGTGGTCATGACGCTGTTTCGGAAGGCTACTCCCTAGGATGCAGGCCTCGTGCCAAACATCCGATCCATAAATCCAGCTACAAGGAATGCTGTAGGCTTTATGGCTCATAGGGTTGAGGGTTTGGGGTCGTAGGCGGTTGTAGGAAGGTTTGACCTTTACTGTTGCTGTCCGAACTTCTCCGGCAGGGCTCATGCAACCGGAAATCACGATGAACACCGTCCTTCTCTTGAGAGATCCTTTGGTTTGATATGTGTAAGAGATCTTTGAAAAATATGTGTATATATATATACAGATATGTATATGTGTATGTATATATGCATCTGTCTCAGCTGGGCCCCGATCATGTGGGATTTAGCCTGGTGGCTCAGAAGGTTGCGTGTCAGGTTCATGACTTGCGGGCCGAAGGCCGGTCGGACATGGCGGTCATGGGGAGACTCGAAGCTTGGGACGGCATCATGCTTCCGTGACACGACCTAGATAGGGGAACTTGGAGAATTGTTAGCTTAAATGCCACCCCCAACCCTGACCTCCAGCAGAAACGGGTGAACCCGGCATGGGCGGCGTCGCTTTTCACAGCACTACTTCGGAGTACTCTCCGGCGAGGACTTTGTATCGCATCGCCAGGGTGCATCTCCGAAGACGAATAGCCTTGGCTTCCATGTGGTGTTTGAGTCCAGCCCTCAGCCATGTACCCTGAGCCTATCGTGTTCCATACCATGACCAGGCGCAGTGATATAGGGGCCTGAATACTTACCAAAACGATTTTGGGGCACGGGGCTGCTTATTGATATAGCTTGTATATACCCCAACAACCCTGTTCGAAACATTAAGGCCCCTCTATTACATACCCCTATAACCCTATTCGAATTATTAAGGCCCCTCTATTGCCCAATGACCACTCGAACATGATTTCCCGACTCGAGCAAACCCGTCCTCGTGCAGGGTTTAGGGTTTAGGGCTTTAGTGTTGTAGGGCTGTAGGGCTACTGTAGGGGTTTAGGGGATTAGGGTGCTAGGGTTTTAGGGTTTGAGGAATTTAGGGATTAGGGCGCAGAATGCAGGATTGAGGTCCCTAAAACGGTGGCCTGGTGGGAGAAAGAAGGGGAGAGATAGACATCCTGTCCAGAGGTGGCAGGAAACCGATCAGCGAGAGCAAGAGGGGAGGGGTGCACACCACCTCAAGAATGATCCAAGACACACAAGGTTTAGGATTTGGGGCTTAGGGGGTTTAGGGTTTAGGGTCGTTCTATGATCACCTATCATTGGTGATGATAAGCCTGCAACAGCCATATAACCCGTCGTAAGACGTCTGAAACCCGATCTGACCCCTTCAGCCTGATCCCCCGACTCAAACACCCTGAATCCGAAGCCCTGAAATCTGATAGGGTTTAGGGTTTACCCATAGGCCCCCAAGTAGTTCCTTCTTATGGTTTATATTTAGAACCCTATAAGGTAATCCCAAAAAGGAACTACTTAGCGGCCTATGGGTAGGGTCTAGGGATCGCAGCCACAAGAAGAAGAGCCAAGAAGCTGCTGGACAACTTTGGCATGTCTCGCCGAGTCTCTTTTGAGACCTTCCCTGTTCACCAATTGGAAACCGAAGCCGACACCCGAAAGGGGTTGAGCTTTAAGACTAAAGGCTTATAAGGCTGAACTACTACAGACTTTTCGGGCTAAAGGAAGGGTCACTGTTTTTTTTCCAGCTTTGTTGGAGAAGCTTCAACAAATCATCGTCCTCAACCTATCTCAGGAACCTAAACCCTCAACCTCGAAGCTTCCTTGGAGTTTACCCTAAACCCTAAACCTAAACCCTAAACCCTAAACCCTATACATCAGCCGACAGCCGAGATCCGGAAGTGGCGGATCATCCGTTGGGCCGTCGAACGCAAAAGTTCAACATCGGTTTCCGCTCAGCGCATATGAGCAGGCACCGGAGGTCCAAACTTTAACAACTGATAGCCTTTGGGGAAACTATCTGGCTATGTTGGGTGTAGGGTTTTACGGTTTAGGGCCCCAAACCCTAAACCCTTAAAAGGGCTTAGGGTTTTGGCGGACCCTTGCATCCTTGGACCTTCAGTGCGCAAGGCTTCGCTATGCCCCCGCTGACTAATTTTGTCAGCACCGCTTCGGCACGCGCTAGGTGGGAGGGACTAAAAGGCCTGTAGCCCTAATCGCCAAGGAGGCTCCCGCAAAGATTTAAGGTGAGGCTTCTTGTACATCCTACGTTTCAAGCAGTGGGGTCAGCCTGGAAAACATCGCTTCTCTTGCCTTCCTATGTCAGGCGCAGACTTGAAACCGGCCTAATCACTCTAAAAGACATATATGCTACGACCTCATCGGCGGCTGTCCAGAAAGCTGGTACGAACCGTACCATGTTTCATTACCTAACTGTTTAGTTGACCTATCTATCTGCCTATCTCTCTACCCCTCTAGCTAAAGTCTCTAGCTCTCTAGCTATCTTTGTCTCGATCTCTGTATCTATCTATCTATCTGTCTACCTGTCAACCTGTCAATACCAATCTGACTATTTGTCTCTCTGCTTATTTGTCTGCTTGTCTGTCTATCTACTTATCTATATAGAGGTGGGCTTTCGGAAGCCTCCTGGCCAGTGGGCGCCCTTTTCATCTTGCCCTGTAGCACACTCCCCTAACGAGGCCCCGTGGGGTCACAAAGGAAGGCGACTTCAAAAGTGGTGAGCATGTCACGCAGACCTAATTTGGAAACAGCTGTGCTCCCAAGAGCCTTACCGGGAATTGCAAACTCGCAACTTCTAAACTTCCACTGGATCTGATGCTCCAGTCCCGGCAGGTACATGGAAGTTGATGATTATGGGGAGGCAGAGCATGCACTCCTGCTGCGACTAGTTATGCTGCCAAGTGCTGCCTGGCTCCCCCCAGGCAAAACAATGCAGGGCTACAAACAGCCAGGGCCCACTTCCTAGCCCATCAAGCCCATGGCTTCCAGGACCTTGTCGAAATTCGCCGCGCGCTCCTTGTCATGACCAGGCGTCAGGACCGCAACGGGGGCAAAGAGTTTCCGTATGACAGGAAGCTTCGGGAGTTTGGATACGTGCATCGCACAGACAAGGAGATTCAGAATGTCATTCAAGGTGGGGGAAAGGGTTTGTCCGAAGGCAACGTAGTTTTGAATCCCATGAACCTTCCTGTTGATACCTGAGAGGTGAAAGGGGGGTAAGATTTCAGATTTCACATCACAGAACGGCCCCTAAACCCTAAACCGAGCCACCACTCCGGCCCCTCCTCCCCGCAGCCCCCTGAGTAAAATTTACATCCTCAGCCCTAAACCCTAAACCCCAAGTTGTAAACCCTCGAAGCGCTAAACCCTAAATCCGAAAGCCAACTTTTGGCCCTAAGCCGTACAATGTTACAAGCCCCAAAGGCTATAAACCCTTAACGCCCTAAAGTCCAAAACTCTATAAACCCTTACTAAGCAGCCCTAAACCTCAATCCTGAACCTGAGTCGAACCCCAAAGACCGGGAAGCCCCTAGACCTCAACGCTTGAGCATATGAAGCATGAGCAGCCGAACCCTAAACTCCAAAATATCCCTAGACCCGAAGACTAGTCCTAAACCCCAAACCCAAACCCTAAACCTAGAACCCCAAACCACTCAAACCCAAAGCATCCCAAAGCCCTAAACCCAGCCAGGGCGCCGTGGCCGCATGAAGCTCTCCGGTACCACAGTTGGGTGGATTGTGGCAGCCACGATTCACGATGCCAGAGGCCCCGTTGATGAAGGATCGATCGCCCTTCTGCATGCCATTATCCACCCACCTCAGTCCAGGAGCGCGGGAGTTTCAGGGAGCTCGGTGCTCCAATGTTTGCAGTGTCCAGCCCTAAACCCTAAACCCTAAATAGGCCCTAAACCCCTAAACCCTAAACCCTAAACCCCTAAACCCTAGACCCTAAACCCTGAACCCTTACATCGTGAGGACGAGAGGCTTCTTCAGCTCCGCGATGTAATCCCAGCCGCCGGAGCTGTAGGGCTGCACGGCGTTCAGCCTTCGCTGCTTAGGGTTGAGGGTTTAGGGGTTTCGGGTTTACGAGTTTATAGGGTTTAGGAGTTTAGGGTTTGGGGGTTTAGGGGTTTAGGATTTAGGGGTTTAGGGTGTTGACCCCGCTTGCTGTCAACTGCCGCCAGAGATGTTGTATCCTAGTGATCCAGGCCTGTATACTTACTTGTCCAGTATCATAGGGGAGCTAAAGGTTAACCTTTGGGACTATGTAGGGATTAACCGCAAAAAGGCTGGAGGTCACCTACCCTACTACTAAGGTATTATGGGGAGCGAAAATAATTAGTGGTAACGTGTAGACCAGTCTGAAAGCATGTGCCCTTCGCCACAAGAAGCGCAGTGAACCGGTGAATGGGCATGTTTCAGCCTGGAGCTGTGACTCAGTTGACTACATAAGCCGTGGAGCTTCGACGCCTCAAGGCCTGATTGCCCTGTCGCTCCAGTTGTCTCTCGGGCTTCAGGGTGTCTTGTGGCAAGTGAACGTCAATCTGTCTAAGATCCCCACAGCCTGCCCAACAGGCTGGAACGTCACGAAGCCATGCGAACCACGAAGCCCGAAGCCCAAAACTACTGGCAAATCGAGCCTTCCCTGAAGCCCTGTGAGCGTAGTGCCCTCCCAGCTCGGGCCGAGGGGCCAGTAGAACATGCCAGCCACCCACTTCAGCTCCGGTGGGCCTTAAACTTCCCGAACCAACACCACGAAGCTTGGCGATAACGGGACTCGTTCAGGCTCGCCAACCCTGTATACAGCAATCAACATGTTAGTAGCTAGGGCCATGATTAAGACAGGATGCACACAAGAAATACAACTACAAGTATCATGAGACTGATAACAGATAGCAGCAATGGCACGAGCTCCGAAACATATTGTGATTCGGCTGCAGCTGCTATTGCAACTTCTACTGGGCTTGCTCTCACAAGAACAGCTCGGAAACAAGAAGTACCTGCTGCTGCGATCTTACCGAGGGACTACGAGCAAGCTAAACACATGAAGCCCCAGCGGTATTCAGAGGATCTACAGGGGTATTCCGTGTACTTCGAGAGCATGTTTCGAAACGAGCACCTGCCAAAACTACGGTTGCTGTTCACGACACCGCAGTAGAATCGTGCTCCAATATGCTCACGTAAGCTTTATGACTAAGTCAGAGTCAGACCCCCTGCACCCATGCATATCCCAAACCGAATCCTCAGTAGATCCTGACACCCAGAACCGTACGAGCCTCGGTGAACCCACAAACCCCAAACACCTTAAAGCCCAAAGCCCTACAAGTGTATCCATCAGAGGTCGAAGGCTAACACACTAAACCCTAAACCCTTTAGAGGAATCCTGAGCCAGGAAACTGCTGGGATCGCAGATGGAGTTCCTGGGCTGCAGGAGGTATATATATATATATGATGATGATGATGATGATGATGATGATGCTGATATATATATATATTAACTAATTAATTAATTAATTAATTAGTTAATTGATTAGTTAATTACTTAATTAATTAATTAATTAATTAAGATCTAAGGCTTATCTAAGGAGGCTTGTGGGGTTTATGGCAATCGGGTTTATAGGCCCTAAAGCCACAAACCCATCTAAGCCCCTAGTAATAAGCCTTGTAAGGTGTAATCAGGGTTTACAGCATCCAGGGATTCGGGGATTCGGGCTTTAGGCCGATCGCAACAGAGCTTTCGACTGTCAGGGCGTAGGATTCAAGGCGTGTGCCGCTGTGTCTCGCCACTGCAGCAGACAACAGCTACGAGGGTAGGGTGTTATAGGGCTTTCTTATGGCGAAGAAGGGCATAGGCTTAGGCTTCACTGCTTCACTCACTGCTTGAAATAAACGATGTAAAGAAACTTCTTTCCAAGAATTGACAGAGCTGCGGGTTCTTGCAAAAGTCGATCTGCGGATAAATAGAGGATCTTCCCTCGTCCGCGGCCCTCTTGCCCATGAAGAAGTTCAGCCTGAACGTAGTCTCTAAGGGGTTTAGGGGTTTTATCTATAAATAGACCTATAAATAGACCTATGCCTCTATATACATATATATATCTATATATGTGTATATGTATATATATATACATGATTTATTTATTGATTTATATTTATATTTATATTTATATTTACAGGGATGAGGACTTAGGATTTTCGGATTTCAGTTAAACCTGCCCCTAAGCAATACGCCGAGCATTACTGACCACTGAGACCGCAAGCAGACATGCTGCATCAGCACATGGTGCCGCTTTCAATCGCTCTGAGTCGACGAAACAAACCCAAAGCCGTCAACAGGGAGCCGGGTACATGACTGTCCATCTTAAACTCCCAAAGTTAGTTTAAAGACCTTGATTGATAAGTCGAACAAGGCTAAAGGGAGTATCTTGTACTAAACTTGTAATAAGGAGCCCAAAGATACCTTTCAAGCAACCACCAGTCCTTCCAGGCCGCCATCACCGCACTACAGCCATCCTCGCCACCTCTGTATTTCCCAACTCCAAGCAACCGAGCCCATGAGAACCGGCGCCGACTGCCGGTAAGAAGGAGGACTTGCTGAAATCCTAAAGCACTAAACCCTAAGGCCCTCAGCCCTAAACCCTAAATCCCAAAGCCCTAAACCCTAAATCCCAAAGCCCTAAACCCTAAACCCTAAATCCTAAGGTGCACCGAGAAGGTTCGGAGCTGAGTGCCGCACTTCCCGAAGTTGCATGTTCCCGTTGTCTGGATAACGCCTGCATCTCGTGATACTGTGAGGGGGGCTTGATAGTTAGACTTGGGATTTTGGGGCACATGATAAATCTACTGATAATTAAGGAACCCCCGAAAAAAACAAAAACATCAGCATTGATACTTGATTAGGCCCCTCGTCGCTTGCCTTACTTCTTTTGATTCTAGACCTGGGCCTGGCAGCACGGGGTTTGCAGCGGACGATGGGAGGCTCCGGGCTTCACGCTACAGGTAGCATCCTCCCCATAGTCTACCTTCGAGTTCTCCTTTGGGGCTACCTTTTGGGGTAGCATCCTACCTATCGTCTACCTTCTATTTCTCTTTTGGGGCTACATTTTAGGATCCTAACTATTTGAACCAAAAGAGGAGACTACAGGTACTCTTCTCCTGAAGCCCGACGGAGACTGTCGCCCAAGGCTTCGAGAAGCAATGATAATAGAGGCGTCCCCTTCTGGTATTGGGCGCTTTCATAGGGGAGCTAAGACCACAAAAAAGGTGATAAAGGGCCGGACCCATGGGAGACTGAGAGTATCGTTAGGCTCCATAAGGCTCTAGGGTTTTCGGGCTGCAGGATTTCAATACTTGTGTCATGCGGAAGCGATCGTCGGGTTCGACATGTTGGAGCCAAGCCTTGCGGTACTCTGCAAAGGGTGTTGGTTCTATTGCTTGGCAAATTTGGTTTCTGCCATTTGGGGAGGGCCGGGGGGGTGGGAGAGGGAGGAGGGCTACTTAGCACCACGGGGATTCCTACTCATGCCACTGCTGCTTCGACTGGTGGTTCTCTGGTCCGTTGCTGCCTCGGCCCCACCAGCAGCAGCCCTCCAAGTCCTGCAAATGCAAACATGGTGGTTCAACCTGTGGCAAATAACATAGCGCTTTCTCACACACAGCATGAAAGGCACAATGGTCATAACAAGAGAAACCTGAAGACAAGACCCAGACGACCACAACACGAGACCAAGCACATGTCATCGTAGCATCACCAGTGACAGCAGCAGCTGCACCCATGGACCAGCACAGTCACTGCAAAGGTCGAAGACGAAGTACAATAAGTAGCGGAAGACGAAGAAGAAGCTTTGCCGACATTCGTTGCCACGGTGGTGTTCACATCGGTGCTACCGTCATCAGCAGCGACCACCATCATCCACATCACCACCATCAACAGTGCAGAAGACGATTACCTTGCCGTCGATCTGCCAGAAGGGCGACAGCAGTGCAAGACCGTGTTCCAGGAGCTCAAAAAGGACTCAATCAAGTCCTCGGTTTTGCCGAGATCCCCCCGAAGCCAGATCACCGAATCTACAACTGGTAGCCAAGATCCTCACGGCCCTCCGGTTGCCCAAACAAGGGCGCATCTGGATTTGGGCAAGCGCCATCGACCTGAATGCAGTTCCAAGTCACGTCAGACGTTCTTCGAAAACTACTCCATGGCGCTGCCTACCCTAAACCCATGACGCCTTCGTCCAATTCTCCAAGGTCCATCTTGCCCTGAACCCGAAACCCCTGCCCCTTATTCCACAAACCGTGAACCCGTTGAAAGCCCCTAGCTTTTCTCCTATAAATCCTAAATCCTAGATCCAGATCCCCTTCCACGCTAAACCCTACTTGGACCCTCATAAACCTCCCTGTTTAAAGACTCACACAAGGAAACCATAATGAGGAACCCTAAACAAGCAGGTTCTTTATGGTTCTTTAAGACCCGGTAAACCCTTAAATCCCTAAACCCTAAAACCAAACTTTTTTGGATAGTCCTCATAGGGTCCGTACATACTACTATTATGGAAGTAGGTCCCAACAGACCATCCTTATTATGGTTTTGGGGATCTAACTCCATAAGACTATGGGTAGTTCTCTAAATTGGGGTCCCTTTTGGGGCCCTCTTTAGAAGGGTGCCGTACTGCTTTTTGGGGACCCCAAAAAGGGACCCCGATTTAGACAACTACCCATATAGTTTGTACATGCGCCCTCTGGTTTACGGCTTTTCGGAATTGACGGAATCCTGCAGTTCCGCGACTCTTTTCCTAGAGCTCAGAAACAGAAACCGCTGAACGTGCTGGAGGGTTTAGGGTTTAGGGCTTTAGGGTTTAGGGTTTAGGGCCTGAACCACTGGCATCAGAGAGGCGAAACTTAAACCTCAACCATCAGCTGAATCTCAGAGCCCACCGACACAGCCGAGCCACGCAGCCCTCACCTGTGAACTTCCATCCTCCTTGAAGTTGAGGTTTCGGGTTGAGGGCTTAGGGTTTAGGGGTTTAGGGTTTAGGGGTTTAGGGGTTTAGTGCATCTTCTCATACTTGGTATGGATGCTTCGACGCGAGTTGCTTCCCGAGTCTATTCATGTCCGGATTCTGGCAGTCAGATTCCTCTTTTCCGAGACAGAGCTGATGATAAGAAGCAAAAACACCGAAACCGAGCATTGAAGGTCTTGTCACAGGCATTCGGATAAGTATTCGTGTCATGCTCGAGATTTTGCGCTCATAGTCGGTTGTGATGGTTATGAGTCCGGCCCATTGCTATACGTGCTAGTGCCCTACTTGAAGTCTAAGACTTGTGATTATGAGGCTAAGAACACCAGTGGGTAGTTCCCTTAAAGTTAGGGCTCTTTTTTCGGTCCCAAAAATGGCATGGCACACGTGTAAAACATACTCCAAAGGGATGCTAAATTAGAGAACTGCCCCAGTCCTGTCTTGATGCCCTGGTAGTCCTTGCAGCTGCCACCTCGTGGAGGGCACTGTATCACGGCAAAACCGCTCACCGGACCCCGGAGTAGGGTTTAAAAAACGCGTTTGAGGATTTAAATGCTGAAGGGTTTAGGGCTTATAGGGTTTAGACTTTATAGGGTTTAGGTATGTATAAGACAACACTCAGAGGCACGCCAAGACTACTCCATGTCGGCCTTAAGGATTGCTAGCATAGGGAAGTGTAGCCATGATGCCTGTTGCTGTTGAGCCAGGCCAAGATAAGATGCAATGCACAAACCCTAACCCCCTGGTACCTACTATATAGGGCCCTAGGGGCCCTAGTACCCTATATAGTAGGTACCTGGGAGGTTTGTACCAGAGCCCCAAGGGCCTTATATAATAGGGACCTGGAGGGTTAGGGAAACATTACGAAAGCAGGGCTCGGCATGGCGAAGGGATGCATGCGAGGAAACCGCGATAGCAAATAAGGACATTGCAGCCAGAAGTGGATGTCGAATATGTATACATATATATATATAATATGTATATATATATAATATATAATATATATATATACACATACATATATACATGTGTATATATATATACATACATGATTAATATATACATATATATATATATGTATATACATACACTTACATTTCTGTACATATGTATAGTATAGATGTAGAGGCTAGCCCCGAACATAAAACGACATTCCCATAGGGGGTGTCAGAATGATGTGTTGGCAGCTGCACGTAGCATATCCGCACATTAGCACTTGAGCATGTTGCGCTTCATGGATATCATGAGTCTCCTTGGCAACCACAGTCAGAACCTGCAGAACCTGCAGAGTCACCGATATGTCACGCATTGTCATGCGGACCACAGGAGACAGTACTGCCTCCTCTCCACTACCTTCGCCGTAATTACAATAGATCTTGAGAAGGTGTATGCAAATTCTGCTCAATGCTTGTCTCCCGCCTCCATTGACGTAGTCGAAGTACTCGTCCAGGGGCACATTGTCAGCAAAGGGGGGGACATGGCCATATCCATCTGCGCACGGGCGTTGAAAGGTCAGGTATAGTAATCAAGTGTACACACAAATTGTTGTTTTTGATTGGTCGACTGTGCAATTATTTGCTTACGCAGTGAAGCTAGAAAGTGCCAGAAGTCACAGAGCACCAATTCCGAGGCGTGATCCCCAGCGGCTCCCGGCATCTCCCCACTGGCCTTCTGGCGCGCACCATGGTGCGCTGTAGTCCCACCTTGAGCTGTCAGCTGGCTTTCTATCCTGCTCCAGGACGTAGCCCGACATAAAGTGTTAACTTATGCGCATAACACTCGCTGTCCGCACTGCTTACGATACTATCTCGGGGCATTGTATGCAAACCATTCCAGGATACGGACATTACACACGAGTAACACGCAAGGAACATAACAAGCGCACCGCATCCTGATGGCAACAGAGTTCACCACCACCCTCATCGACATCGTCTTCATCATCATCTTCATCACCACCATCATCATCCTCGTCGTCGTCGTGTCAAATATCGCAGTTACACCCTTTCATCACCTTAGATGCAGCCGTCATCATCGTAAACAACATCAACGTTGTGGTCATCATAATCTCGTCATTATCACCATCACAATGGCAGTTAACAGCATCATCGAGCTGAAAAACTCTGATAAACCATCTAATCATCAGACCCAGTATCTGAAGCTCCGAAACTCTTGGTGGCCGATGTTTATGATCATAGCACACTCTCGAACGGGTACAGCTGCAAACGCCCAGGTACTCTAGCTAACTCTGCCCGTGCGCATGTACATGTGCGTGCCTGCATGGATGGATGGCTGTTTGTTCGTTTGCACGTACGTACGTCGTACGTAGTATAGAGGTAGGTATAGGTAGGTATAGGCAGGTAGGTATAGGTAGGAAGGTAGGTAGGTAGGCAGGCAGGCAGGCAGGCAGGTAGGTGGGTGCGTAGGACAGCAGGTGCCTTCATATTCCAATACACGCTCAAGCCATGTCACTCGAACCTCTTTCATATTATATAATATACACATCAAGCCATTAAACCCTGTTTAAAACACTAAACCCTAGACCCCTCCTTGACCCTGAACTGAACCCCTAAACCCTAAACCTTAGAGCCCTCCTAAACCTTAAGCCACTAACCCCTAAACCCTAAATCCCTCCTGAACCCTAAACCCCTAACCCCTAAATCCTAAACCCCTAAAAAACCCCAAACCGAACCCCTTAACCATTAGCAAAATCCTAAACCCTTGAACCCTTAAACCCTAAACCCGTAAACCCTAATCCCAAACTCCCTAAACCCTTAGCTAAATCCTAAACCCCAAAGCCCTAAACCCCAAACCCCCAAACCCTAAACTCTAGCCCTTTTTTTGCAAGCCCAAACCCGGCCTTGGGGCCTTGGGCACCTTGGACTTGGGCGCGCAGAAGAGCTTCGCCGGGGCTCCATACCAGCCGGCCTGGCTGGCTCGAGGGTTCAGAGGTTTTCGGTCTAGGGGTTTAGGGGTTTTGGGGTTTAGGGGATTAGGGGTTTAGGGGTTAAGGGGATTAGGGCTTTAGGGTTTAAGGTTTGGGGTTTAGGGTTCCTGGCTGGCTTGAGGGTTCAGAGGTTTTGGGTTTAGGGGTTTAGGGGTTTAGGGCTTAAGGGAATTAGGGGATTAGGGGTTTAGGGGTTAAGGGGATTAGGGGTTTTGGGTTTAGGGGTTTAGGGGTTTAGGGCAGTAAGGGGTTTCGGGCTTAGGGGTTTAGGGGTTTAGGGGTTTAGGGTTTTAGGGTTTTAGGGTTTTAGGGTTTAGGGTATAGGGGTTCAGGGGCTTAGGGTTTAGGGTAACAACGCGTCGTAGTAGTAGTAGTAGTAGTACTAGTAGTAGTAGTAGTAGTAGTAGTAGCAGTAGGAGTAGTAGTAGTAGTAGTAGTAGTGGTGGTAGTAGTAGAAGAAGTACTACTAATGATAATCACCAATGTTCATCATGACAATCATCGTATAAGAAGAAGAATACGAATAACAATATCGATCCCTTTGACTTTGAATTTCTGGGCTACTCTGCTTCTCGGGGTTCAGGGGCCCACAGGAACTCATAAATGGAAACCATACGGAGTGTTGTAGTCTTGGGTGGCTGGTGCGGGACCCTGCAGTGGCAGCACAAAACAAGGGCAAGCACAACCTTCCAGCGGTCACAGCCAGGTAGAGGTCTCAACATCCCTAATATAAAAACCTCGCGGCCCTGGGATTTCGCGGCACAATTGAAAGGTTATTAAAAACATTAGGGCCGGGCCCAGGACTGTATCAGTTCTAATAGAGCCAAGATTACAGCAGTACTAATCAAACCGGCTCAATGGTTTGGGGCGTGGGGCTTTGGGGTTTAGGGCTCAGGGCTTAGGTCGTTAGGGCTCTTGGGCTTAGGGCTTCAAGGTACCCGGATGCGCGGAAACTCTCATATATACAAAACCAAACCACCAGAAATCAGTCTTTATATTAGAGGGGAGCGGGGGTTACTCTCAGGGGGAAGTTGTTTGGTCACGAACAGGACGGCAGCCTGCGTGTAGGCCCGCATCTCCATGTTGGGGTCCTCAACTTCGGCACGGCATGGCTGCGACCCAAACGATATGTAAACCCTAAACCTTCAGAACAAGAGGAACTAAATATACCGGAGTGGGGGCCATCATTCTACGATGAGAAATGCTTCCTTTCTACAGTCGAGGATAGCTTTGGTCCTTGGTCGGGCGGGTTCTGAAAGAATTGATTTTTAACGGCACAAGCCTCGAACCAACTTCCACATTGCGAATCTTGCCGTACTGCACCTGCGATCCTTCGAATTACTGATTGTTATTCTCCGAATGTGACTCCTACGCCTATTTTTCGACGATGGTCCCTAAACCCGAAACCCTTCAGGTTCTAATTCAAACCCAAAGCACAGCCAAGAGGCGACATCACAGGCCATCTTTCCGCCAGCGAGGGCGTCCTCCTCTGGCGAGCAGCTGTAATCCTGAAAGGGAGCCAGACATAGACTTTAGTTCCCGGCAACCGAGCGTTTGGTTCGCAGAGTCTAGGGATTAAGCGACAAAGGCTTGGGAGCATCGCTCGGCTCGGCTGGGGCTGATGCTCTTTTGAACTTGTAAGGGTGCTATAAGGCTATAAACATAAAACTGTACCGAAGTTCGGGGCCTATGGACTGCTTTTTGGATTCATTTGCCAGCATCTTTTGTGCTTCCTGCCCCGAGGCAGTTTGTCATCGAGACCCACCAGACAACGATGGGTCAATTTGGGCGTGTACTGAAGCAAAGGCACATCCTGACTGACGAGTCCGGAAATGCAGAGCTCAGCCGGCCAGGAAGGCCCAAACTGCCGCGTAGGTTTTAGATGTCATCTGAGCCAGTGTAACTCCGCGCTGCTTTCATGTCTTGCTGACAGCCATACGGATGGGACAAAAACACGACCAGGGACTGTGCCGTGTTCCTCGCGGGTGTTGCAAGCTTCAGCTGTGGTTCTGAGCCTCTGTAGTCGAAGCTCTGACAGGCACAAGCTTGGTGACAAGCCCGGCAGTGCAACAAAACACATGGGCCGTCTCCAGACACCTCATGATGTCAGCCATTTCGGCTGCCTAGCAGTGGACCGGGTCGCAGAAACCATGGTTCTGCTGCCACAGCTTCAGCCGCTTCGGGCCCTCCTCAGTCCATGTCATCCAGGCATATATCTTCGGTGCAGCAGCGAGCACATGCGCAGTGGAAGCCGAAACGCTGGCGCAGCGCCTCGCGGCGGGCACTGCAAGACCAGCGGAGCTCCTCAGGCAGCAAGTAGGACACCGCCACAGCCTCACCTTCTTCGATAGTCCGGAGTGCCCGCCAGCTCCCTAGAAGAACGGACTCTTCAGCTTGCTGCGGTAGGAAGGAAGCATTGGGGGCACAGCTGTGCTCGAAACGGGATCCCTTCAGAAAAAGCGCCTCGGTTTCTCCAGGCTCGAAATGATAGCAGTTAACGACGCAGGCTCCAACCACCGCCTCCACCTCGCTGGCCTCAACGTCTCCGAAGCCCGCAAGGTGGTCACTGGCTGCTTTGATCTGCGTGGCCAAAGCAGCTCCCGAACTAGGGCACGGTGCCGTCTGCAGGGAGAGGCATTGCCGCTGAACCTCCGTGGAAGAGCGCTGCCAGGCCGTTACAGCCTGCTTCTTCTTCAGAGCGAGGCCAGCAGAGTGTAGGGCTCCGGTTCCCAGGGCGGCCGCGAGGGCTTCCAGGGGACTTGCAGCCGATGGCTGCCAGCTTAGCAGCGGCATTTCCCGGAAGAAGACCTCTCCCTTGGCGATGGGCCGCAAGCTGTAGCAGCAGAAGCCCTTGAGCCCAGAGGGATCGATTCGGACCTCGATCGCTTCCATGGCCCGTAAAGCCGGCTCAGGAAGATACGTGGAGGAGACAGGCCTTCGAACCCTGAGAGGGCTTGAGAAGCGCACGCGGAAAAATTGAGACTCCATTTTATGTGAACTTTTTTTGGTTGGGCACTGAATATCAGTTCCTCGAACGCCACGAAACCCCTCTTGCCATACCTGTGAAGACTGCGAGGAAACCCGCTATGAAAAAAAAGGCCTAACACGCTGTGTAATTAGCGGGTAATGGAAAGAGCGACACCGCATCACAAAGAACATGTATGATTCTCCAGTCTGTTTCGTTTTTTGCGAAAAGCATACCGAAAGACACTCGTTGACACAGACCTAAAGCCCTAAACCCTACATACCCTAAACACTCAAACCCTTTAGACCCTCATTGCAACCAAAAATACGCCCCTAATGATGCCCTATCCTGCCTGATAGGACTGATGGAGCTGACCACAAGCCGACGCTGCTGAGTAGGTTGCGCCGCCCGCCTCTTGGACCACCGCCTTCGAGGAAAAGCAGAGGAGTTTTTTTTTTTTAAGGGTCTTGTAAGGGACACATACGGTTGATGATATAAATCCTGCATTACCCTAGGGTCCTTAAGTTAATGCAGGACTTATATCATCAACAGTTGTATAGGGCCTAGACTCCTAGACAGGTGTGTTTGGGCTCTAAGCTTTTATCCAGGAGTGCTCCAGGGTTTCTGGGTAAGCCTCATTCGGCTTTGCAGTGCTTGGGACGACAGGTCACGATGTATGGTATTGTGCTTGCAGTTTTTCTGCTTAAGCATGCCGCGATGATGTCGTGGCAATCCTTTGCCGTGCTATGCGGCGATGCTCGTTAGGCTTGTGTGGTGTACGGTTTCAGGATGAGGGCGGGGCGTCCTCTTGTCATCGCAACGGACCCTCATCTAACAAAGTTCGGCAGCTCAGTCGTGCTATTGGGGAAGACACTATCACTACAGCTTTCGGTATAGAGCCAGAAAGCCCCAAGTCATGGAAAACTAAGACTGCGCCAACCTTGTCGCTCCAGTTGTTCTCATCGCAGGCATTGTATTGGATCGTCTCCTGGCCGCAGGCCCTAAACCCTAAACGAAACCATTCAAAACGCTGCGCTAAAACAACTCAGCGCACAGCCGACGTCGCACAGGAGCTCGAGTCGATCAAAAGCGATTGCAAAAAAAAACAACAACACTAATAACGATGATACCAATGGAACTAAAGACCGTAGTTTGTCATTCTCAATAACTTCGAGTTAGCTTGCCTGTTGCAGCAGTGTTCATCCAGTCCGAGTCCTCGATTCAAACCTATAGAGGCACCCAGTGAACCGACAACGGCTGACATTTCTACTTCCACAACTAGAAAGTAACCTTGCAATACTGCAGAAAAAAGGATGGCAAAGTGATCAAGAATAGCAGAGCTGGAACCCGGAAGTGCGGGTGTAGGAAGCTATAGAAATACTACTCCCCTGAGTTTCTATATTCACACAAGATTACACTACACAGTTGCGTAGGCTTCTCCCTCTGCCTCTCAAGTATGCACACCAAAGGAGACTACCATCTTCGCAGACCAGAAGCTGCAGCTCTCAGGCATCAGGAATCCCTTGGAAATACTACTGCTCCCAGTTGAATGCCCGCAGTAACCCTGCAAGCTCTTTGCTCAGCTCACTACTCAACCTCCTTATAGGTACAAACCCTTTCATATGAACTCCGTACGTAAGAACTCCCTATGCCCGGGGCCCCTAGCATCTCTCAGAAGTCCTAGTTTTCAGGGCCCCAAGTGTCAGGGCCCTTAGGATAAGCCCTTCACTACTTCACTCCTTAACCTCCATTCTAAGTTTTTAGGGATCTAAACCCTATAAGCCCTCAAAAGGGGACCCACAGAAGCCCTTTAAAATCCATTCTAAGTAAAAAAGGACCTGTACTTATTATCTAAGCCCTATAAACCCTCAAAAGGGGCCCCCCAGAAGCCCTGTAAGCTCCCTCCTGCATGCACTGCGCCAAGAAGGCGGCTACATTTACCAGGCCATACACCTGGGCAGATGGGGCTCAAAGCGTTCTGCCTCCGGATTACAAGGTTTACAGGCTTACTGAGCTTAGGATTTATAGTTTAGGGCTGAGGATTACAAGGTTTCAAGGCTTACCGGGCTTGGGATTCATAGGGCTTGGGGCTTGGGGCTTAGCCGCTTTTCGGGCTTCATGGTTCAGGATTACGGGGTCGCAGGGACTGGAGGTTTAGGGATTGCGAGTCAAGGCTTACGATTTAAGCTGGGTCTTAGCGAAGAGTTTCCGTAGAATGCATATAGGACTTAGAAACTTCAACTCTATTCCAGCAAAACCCCATTCCCTAAACCCTGCACCTCAGACCCTACAACCCTCTACAGTATGCTGAATTTACCCGAAAGAAAACCCTTGAAGGAACTCTGTACCACTAAACCCTAGAAACCCAAGGACTAAGTCTCCAGCGTGGTTCGTGTCGCCCAGCCAGAGTTTCAGGCTCCCGATACCACTCGTGGCCATAAGGCGAACGGCCTTCAAAGGGTTTAGGGTTTAGGGTAGGGTTAAGGGTCGGCATGGAGGGTTCCTTGAAGAGTTCGAGACGGGAGCAGGTAAGGGTAGTATTAAGCTTCCCTTACCGGACTGCTGTTGATGATGCAAATCTGCATCTCCTTAAGGACCCTAAACCATGGGAATTGTGGTATATTTTCACTATTATGGGTAATGCAGGCTTTTGATCATCAGCCGTATAACAGGTGCTCGAGGCACCAAACAATATTGTTTTCTACTCCTTGCGCGTCGGATGTAGGAGGATGGGTGCGTCCGACAGCAAATGTGGGCATAGTCAAACATGTCGTGTCCAAGCCAAAGGTTTGCAACAGCTCGTGTTTGCACGTTGCATAGGCGAGGTCGTGAATTCGCCGGCAGGTGCATAAGAATCGGCATGTTCTCATAGCACGGGGGGCTTTTGCATTCCGGGGCTGAGGATTCAGATGCTATGGCATTTAGAGTTGCATCCCTTAGATTTCCGCGACGTGTGGGAAGGCAACCAGCATTTAGGCTAGGGCTTAAGGACGGGATGGGAGTCCTCCCGGTTGTTGCTCCAAGAAGAGAAAATCAAGTTGTGAAGATCAAGCACCTTCGCCAGACTACTTGTGCTTCGATCGGCAGCTTGGCACACAGCGCTGAACGCATAGATATATAAACATACATGTACATGTACAAGCATGTGCACACTCATAGATTGCAGGTGGCTGCATGGGATGGCTTTCAAGCAAAGGCGATCACACGCGGTCATGGATAGCCGCCACAGGGCCTCAATCATGTCCGGCCATGTGTAGATGTCCGATGGAAGCCATCCACTACCAGTGTCGTACATGAAGACCTGGGTGGTGCAGATCTGCGTTCAGTCCTGCCAGCTAGCACCCAAGTGGGATACGCATGGGATTCTGCAAAATCACTCTTTCAATTTGTCGTGCCGAGGCCAATCCTCAAAACAGGTCCGAAATAGGGTGCAATAGCTACGGAGGGAGGCCTTTAACATGACTGACAAATCATATGCCCCCATGTTTCCACTGACTAGTACTGCGACGATGATGATACTTGCTGTCGTCGCTGCGCTGCTGAAACACTATGCATGAGTCTTATGTGCCTTCTTAGGCTGTTCCCGCTACAAGTAGTGACTTCTGCTTCTGCTACTAGTATATCCATACTATCAGTAGAACTGTGACTCTCCTTTTCAGATGTCATGAGGAATAGCATGATTCGCGTTTGCTGCTATCGCTCAGACGGCCACATGTCGCTCGGACTGTTATCCGGTTGATGACGACTTAGGGTAGTATGCTTTCAGTTACTCATTTTTGGTAGTTCGCACTGTTTCTACTTGTGCTGCTGTGCTTGCTTAGAGGAATTCTCTCACTACGGCCTTTCCGATCGATGCTGCTCAGGCACACCGTCAGAGTTGGAGCTCTCCAGAGCTTGAATGGACCTATCCAATGTGGTGGAGGGCGTAGAGAGGGTGGTGCCTGCCGCAGTGGTGGTCCTGAACAAGGGGGGGTTCAAGGCTTGGAGATTTCCGTAGGGAGATTTCCGCTTGGGAAAGGATGAGGGGCTTAAAGGCTTGGAGATTGCTGCAACATACTGTATTCCCCTTCAGGAAGGATGCAGGTTCTATGTAACATCAACCACGGTTCAACGGCAGCTCTATAAATACGGTATGAAACGGCCCGGCCAGGCCCTGGAGTAAGCTTGATCCGATGGTCCTGGCGCTGGTTGTCGCCCTGATGGTGGTGCTGGAGGTCGTCGACATCGTGGCAGTAGTTGCGGCTGCCGTGGTGCTCCGCATAGTCGTCGTGGGCGCAGCCGTGGGCAGAATGGTGGCTCCTCCGCTGCACAGGCAGGGACCGCCGCCGCCGCAGGGCCACCTCACTGCTCAGGAGCAAGGCATCATGAAGCAGTTGGATAACAGACTTTAAAAAATCTTTGAGAATTACTTTTCATGAACAAAACAAAATGCGATGATGTCCTATTAAAAGCTATGATATGCTATACTGGATTTAGGGCTAAGGCTGCGGTGCTATCATCAGTTTAGGGTGTAGTGCCTTTCAAAGCCTTGTGCTCTTCAGACTTATCTACTATGAGCCTCTCGGACTCTCGGTCACAGCGGCTTCCTAGTAGCATTCCAGAAACGAGTCGGAAGAGAGTACCAAACGCAGAACCCAGGGACTGGTCAGCGTCCAGATAGCTGCATGTTTCGGCACAGATAGCATCTGTAGCTCCTGCCCGGGGAAGCGGTATAAAAGTGTAAAGCAGTCGGCTAACTGGGAAGAAAGAGTACGACTTCTGACCTCATGGACCCACGACTACGGCATGACGATGATTACTTGGAGAGTCGGAGGACTTAGCAAGTATCTATTAGGTAATACGTAGAGGTATACATGCTCTAGATGGGATATGAATCGGGCTTGTGGTACTTATAACTCGTTAAACTAACAACTTACCAAGTTCCCCGACCCTCCGAGGATTTACGTCGCATCCCCAGAAAAGGATTCCTCACCAGATCCTGAAAAGATGTGATAAAGCTGCCGGTCTGGCGATTGCAATTTGAGCTCGCAGCCGACTTCCCAACCAAAACGCCGACAGAGGAGTACGCTTCCTTCAGACTGCAAAAAACATTAGGCTGTTTGCTAATAAGCCGAAATATACTTTACTGTATTGCCAACATGTACTGTAATATGCTTTACTATAGAATCTTATAACAGTTTAGTATACAATGATATGCTATGATATGCTCATGTATGCTCTGTAAGCCATTTCATCTACCCATCTGATCCGACCAGGCCCCGACCTCCCTCACCGTTCGTCGCAGAACAAGAGCGCACGCCAGGCTCCTCCAAGTTTTGGGTTTGGGGTTCAGGGCTTCAGAATTCGGTGTACTCTGACTTCGCAGCTGTACATTTCTAACCCTAGAGCGGGTTTAGCTGAAAGTTCAAGTTTTGCATTCGTGGTGTTGCCTGAAAGCAAGATAACCTTGCCTTCGACAACTGGTGAGGTCATCCATGTCAGAACCTGTGTTACTTTGAAAGCACGAGTCTGCTTGACTCAGAATCAGACTCTTTTGTTTTCAGTTAAACCAGTCAAACACAGTTTGTGATGAGCTATCAATACGTACTCCCTGGACTCATAGGTTTTTTAAAAAATAGGCCTTTTGAACAACCTATAAAACCTAAGGTTTTCAAAAAACCTTGGAACTGTGCCAGGCCAGAGCCTTACACGAGCGTCGCCTTCATCGCCAAAGCCCCGCGAGATCGGAAGGACTCAATGTCAACATGGCTTTGTTGAGGGATCTTCATAGCAAGAGAAAGGATCGTACTATTTGTTTGGCTATGTATATATATATATACATATATATATATATGTATATATATATATATAATAACAACAATAATAATATGGTCTTCTTGAAGGATCTTCACATGAAAAGGATCGCACTATTTGTTGGGGCGTGTATAGGGGCCCTGCAACTGTGAAACTTGCACAACTTAGTAAGCCCCGGGATCCGATCGAGATCGCAGCAATCGCGGCCCCTATAGCCGAACAAAACACACAAGCTCTGAAATCATGGGCGTCAAGCTGCAGTCAACATGTGATTAATTAAATTTTAAATTAAACCCCAATCCCGAACCCCCAAGAAATCTAAATCACTGACTCCTACCGGACAGTAAAACCAAAACATGACACGCAAGGGACCTCCGTTCGGCGCCAGCAGTTGAAGCCTTGACGTGCAAACTCTCTTGAAGGGGATTGTGGCGAAGCTTTCGTTATACCCTAAACCCCAATGCTCCTAATCCCCCAAACGTAAGAAGGCATGAAGCAAAATGATGGGCTGTGTCTTGAACTGCGGACTTATGCGAAGACTTTTGGGCACGGCACTCTGTTGGCCCCATGCATGTTGTACTCGGACGCTATAGGTAACATCCCAGTTCGTTCGAAGTTCCCAAAGCCGAAACCCTGAAACACCAAGACTAAAGCTGTGGCTGAAGCCAAAACTCAAGGTATGGCTCGAGGTTGGCGCTTTGGGGCGATGCTTCTTCAGCTTCACCATGAACACCGTTATGACCGTCACCAGCAGTTAGAAACAAACAAGAAGAGTAAGGTGTATATGTGTATACAAACACATGCACCAAATAAACTAGTTGAAAGCTGATGACAATTATTCTCAAAATATCGGAGTGGAAATCGAGAGGCCACTGAGCGTGATGGATGCTTCGATGCCGGCAGCGCGCGTCCAAATTTCACAGCGGCCCGGGCTGTACTCCTTAGTTCATGGATGCAGATCTCAAGACTGTCCCTTAATAAGCTTCCTGTACTCTCTATCGAACCGAGGCCAACACCCAAGACTGTAGTTCGGGTGCTGCTCTGCAGCTGCGACGGTTCGGCTCCAAAGCAGGCAGTTTGGGGTCTAGGCTGTACGTCTGCTTCAACTGTGCAAACTTGGGGAATTCAACCTTGCATCATCACATCCTCTTGAAGGGGCCTTCGCTTGGTCCTGGAGGCCTGGAGTTACGCATCTTTTTCAAATCGCTGACACGCGCACATGCTATTCCCCTGCATCTGCTTTCCCGGACGTCAAGCTCTTGAAAACGTGTATTTGGCTCGTCAGATTGTGCAAGAAATGCGCAAGCTAGATAAATCATGAACTTGACATCCCATCCCAGCCGGGTCATTTGGCAATCCCTGCGGCTTCGCCAGCCGTTTGCCCAACCAGCTTTGAGCTAGTGTGATTATTTTGTCTAACATCAACTTGCAAAGTGAACTTAAACCAACATATATACACCAATGTAAGCGTCGCGGAGGAAACTGATGTTCCAATGCTGACCACTGACAGTAGCTGTAGCTCGTATCACGTGAGCAAGCTCTTCCACTCAACCTGGAAACGGGCCTGGAGCTGCTGCATTTGTTCAATCAGCTGCTGATCGGCCTGATTTTTCGTGTGAGACTCTTTCAGCTTCGTCTCCAGGGACTGAATGTAGGAGGTTTGCTCCTCGTCTTTCCGCCTGAGAGCCTCATTCTCCGCTCGATGCCGCTTGAACTCCTCCTCCCGCTCCTGCAGCTCAGCCTTGAGGCGCCGGCTCTGCTTCTCCGCCTCCGAAGCCTTGTCCTCGGCAGCTCGACCTTTGTGCTCTTTGTCCAAGAAGGGGTGCCCACTTATATACGAACTATCTAGACTTCTTCCATAATTAACGAGCAGGAGCTCTAAGGACTGGACGACTCTGGTCGCAAGCTTCCGTGCGCTGCCGCACGCGGCGCTCGAAATCGGCTTCGATGGCTCGTCGCTCAGCCTTGACCCGCTCCTCCACCACCTCTGAGGGTCTTGCGGTTCGTAGTGTCGTGGTAAACAAATCACTCGGGTTCATGGGGGGACAACAACAACAACAACCGCCACCGCGAAGTCGGCGATGGTAAAACAAGCATAAAGAGAATAACGACAAGATGGCAAACACGCTCTTAGAATTGCTGTGAACAACTGCAAGGTTTTTCCAAACCCAGTCCTCGGGCTTGAGCAGGTCCGCGGCATCATCGGGCAGAGCGGGTTGGTTGGAAATGGCATAGTGCCTGTAGACGCGGTAGACTTCGGCCACCCATTAATTACAGATTAAAACAATTTGACTGTTGCTGCTATCTGGACTTTCGCAAAATTCCAGCACAAACCGAGACACGTAATCAAGTACAAACCATGGCTATTCGAGCGTGTATTGCAGGACTATAGAGGACAACTCGCTGACTCCAGCCTGGCCTTGTCGCGCTGAGAATGTCACCTATCGCCTTCTTGACGAAATCTGTCTCGCCCCAGCTGATGTGCTCATCCTTTGACGAAATGATTCTCAGAAGATCTGCATCCAACAGCCCAATCTTCAGCTCATCCAAGAAAGCCTGCATCCTGGGCATCTTCAACTCATTGGAGTTGACACTTCCGGTCAGGAAGTTGCGCAGATCACGCACCGCGCGGCATTTCTGCTTCTCCTCCTCGACCACAGCAAGTTCGAGAACCTGCGCACATTCCTCGCAATCCTGCAGCTTTCGGAAGAAACTATGCTGGAAGATCTTTTCGCGAAACAGGATCTCCCGAGCCGTCAGGTCAGGGTCCCAACAGCCACTTCTCATGTGGGATAGCAAGTAGTTGATCTGAGGAGCCATGTTTTTCAATTTGGCAGCAATGTCAACGGATTCTGCAGGACAGGGAAACCAAGACAACCGGCCAGACTCACCGGCCTGCTTGTCGAAGCGCGCTTTTGCACATGCAAGACACGCTTCGCAAGATGGATCGGAGAATGGAGTGTGTGTCTCGCAGCATCCAGAGTCATCGAAGCGGAGTGCAGGCAAAGAGAGGTGCACCGATAGCATGCGAAGAGCCACACGTTTGTCTTCCGGATTTATCCCCTCCAGCTCCTGCACAAACTGCTGTGAGGATCGAGGCCTAACGCTGGAAAGCGACTTACTGTAGTTTGCGGGATATGGCATTTAGAAAATCTGCCTTATCTCTTTTAATTTGACAAGTATGCAAAAGGCAGGCAATGCTCGAGCTTCCTGGTAGTAAACCAGGACAGTGTGTTACATAACGAAAGTTTCACTTTGCACATTCCCAACTAAACTCCTGCATGATGGAGCTGCGCACCAATCGCAATGCCTTCAGGTACTTTGAGAGAAGATAGGGGTCGCACTGGTTCCTCCTACCGTAACAGCTTTCCACCTCAACACGCATCACCTCTGCCAGAAACTCTGCCATATATAGTGGCTTCTTCAGCGCAGGGCCCTCTTCGTCAGACTGGGTGAGACGTACTGCCGCTTGAACTCTGTGGTGGTATTGCGAAAGCAAGCCAGTCGTGCCAGTCAGCCTTTCTTTGCGACGCTTCCATTCACTGGCACATTCCTTCCAAGCAACATTGTCTTCTTTCCGAAGCTGCTCTGTCACAAACAGTCGTCCAGCTGCGGGAGCTGCTTCAACAAAGTCCAAGACAGCTTGCAAGTGTGTTTGCTTCATTGAGCCATTTGAGGCTCTGGCTAAGGCCCCAAGCACATCCGGATACCTTGCAAGCTTTTCCAACAAGGCTTTTATTCGGTGCCGGGCAGGAAGACATGCTTCCTGCAACTTCACTCCCTTCTCGACTTTCGCAGCAGCCTCCATAGCATCGTGCAGAAGCGACAGGGCTGACACGGGATTCGAATCGGAGTTCATGGCAGCTCGAGATTTCGCCACAATGCCCCAATGCGCAACTACTGGAAGCATGTGGAAGACTTTGTTGCATGCACACCGTCGACCCCTCTTGTTAAGCCTGTAAGAACGATTCGGGCTTCCGGGATTCGTTTCTAGTTTTAGCTGAAATTCTTCTGCTAAAAATGCTGATCTGAAAGATTCAACTTCACAGTGGCATCTTGAAGTCGGGATGTATGTGTATAGGCACGTCCAGCCGGGCCCTGCAGCAGGAGGCATAGCAATGGTTTCAAGAGAGTCAGCCCAACAGATCCTAGCGGGCCCCGAGAATAAAACGCAAGACAGTTGCAATGGCAATCCAGGGGCTAGCATTGAAGCCTTGAGCAAAGCCAAGGATCGATTCCGGTGCATGATGGTTCCTTCATGCATTCGGCCTTGCAGGCTGTAATGCTCGAGACGTCTGGGATGACATCGAAGTAGCTCGGCCTCGACATCGCTGCGAAGGCGCAAGTGAACACAGCGGCAGCAGCTCTCGAACTCGGCATCGGAAATTGCACTTCTCCTACGTTCCTGCTGCACTAAGCCACACTGCAAGAACCTGAAAAAAAAACTGAAAGGCTTCGAGGCTTATACTTCGCATGACAGTTCCGTTCCTCGTGGACCCGGCAAGACGACGTCAGCGGGGCCTGTTGTCCGATGCACTGGCTCCTCGGCACGCTTGGTCCTTGCCGCCATTCACCTGCAAAGCGAGGTCCGCAAAACTGGGTCTAGGCTTGAGCTTTGATTCTGATGACAAGAGAGAAAGAGTGGAAGAAAACCAACTTGGGAGTGCCGGTCAAGAACGCAGAAGAAAAGCCTGTGTCAGCCAAGTAAATCGTATCATACACCACGGGTACTGTGGAGACACTTGCCACACCCACGCGTCTCAACCGCCCACACACAGGAGAGGCGGCCAGCAACTTGAAACACTAACATGAAACCCTCAAGCCAAGGTCAAGCAGAGTGGCTGCTTCAAACGATCCAGGCGGGTATGGAGTGGTCGTCGACATGCCTGAGCAAATACTCAGCTCCCAAGCTTCAAGCAAACAGAACGAAGGCGACCGGCAAAGAGTACGAAAGTAAGTAGCATGATAAGTCTGGAGGCCATTCCGTGCTTGAAATAAAGACGCAACAAATCCGACAAAAAGCCTGACGAGAGTCTTGACCGTGGTTGCTTCACGATTCGATATGGAAGTAAGGTCGTATGTACGCAGGTGCCGTAAAGAGAACACCCCCCAGAAACGTTTAAGCCGGGCATCTTGGATCAAGGAAGCGGTAGCAGCTGTAGCCCGAAACCGGAGCTGAAGCCTGGATGCCTCGAGCACGAGCGGAGGGAACAGGCTTTTGGGTTTGGCATGGTTACATAGGCCTTTTTGTGAAGGCCTTTTGGTGTGCGATCTAGGGTTTAGGATTTACGGGTTTAGGGCAATCATCATGGCGGCAGCAGTTGGTCCAGGGTGGGGTTAGGAACCCTCGATTAAGGGCTGAGGGTTTAGCTATGCTTAGTTGAAGCATGTTGCAAACCCTAAACTCCAGTTCGACCGTTTGGCGACTCAGACTGAACTGGCCTTCTGCTCGAGTCCAAATTTCGCAGCGGTTTGGGCTGAATTCGACACCTGCGTGGCACAGGAACTCCCCCCATCTGCGTTCGGAGCTTCTTTTCTGTTGGGAGTCTGGGGAGCTGAAGGGCCTAGGGGCCTGTGGGTTTGTCACTTTTCCGGTTTCGGGTTTAGGGTGCCGGGTACAGGGGCTCAAATACCACACAGCCACACGATGCTGCTCTGCGCAAGGTGCTGCTCGCTCCAAAGTCACGAACCTACCAGGTAACACAACGACGATTCCTAATGCCACTATTGTCGCTTCGAGCTTCAATCCATGCGCCACAGTGCAATCGGCCTGCACGCTATACTCAAAACAGCTGGGAAAATCTGAACCATTCAGTTCTGACATGCTACATGCTGCAATACCCATGCCCTGGCAAGCAAACATGCTAAACAGCTCCAACTGCCAGAATCATAAACATAAACTAAGTCCTGATCCCGGTTCATCCGTAACGAACCCCTGATCGCCGATTCCCCTTTCTCGTCGGGGCCTTGGCAAAAAGGCTGCCGGGTGCATTCGGCTTGGCAGTCGGCGAGCGTAAAGAGCCCTGCACGCTGGTAGCATTGCAGCTTTGGGGTAAAGCTTAGGATTCAGGGTCTTACCTGTAGTCTCCAATGTAGTTCCTGTTTTGGATTCAACCGAATCCATAATTAGAGACTCCCAAAAGGAAGCCCAACAAAAACTGCGGTGCAGACTAAAGGCAAGGTGTAGGGATTCGGCAACGGTAGTGAGACTGGATGCAGGATCAAAGCCCCATCGTGAGACCTATCGTCATCGTTCGTATCACCGCAGTACACGTGACATCTCTCTTGCTTGATTGGGTGATGGCTTCTTGTCGCCACCAAGGACTTCTGGAGTTCAAGGCCTTCGGGGCTGTTGACGGCATACCAGGGAAGCTTTCAGGTGGGAGAGGATACTATCAAAAACCTACCCCAAACCCTAAACGGCCCTAAACCCTAAACCCTGAACCCTAAACCCTGAGCATGAAGAAGCCGAAGCCCAAATCCTAGATGCGGCAGCTCGGAGGTCGCATCTACAGCTTGCACATGCAGAGACCGTAGTGCTTCGGCTCTTACTGTAAGGGTTGAGGGCTTTGCGGGGTTTTACATGCTAGATTGCGCCACTTTCTAATGGTGCCATCATTATTTTCTAGAGAGAGACATTGAAGCCAGGTGGCTCTGGTTGGTGCACTGCGCCTTCAACTGTTCATCCTGAACCCTCCTAATCACCTCAATCCCAACCCGAACAGCCTACACTCTAGGACTCTAAACCCTACATCCCTAGACCCCAAATGATGCCACCTCGGACGACGGAGTAGTGATCAGCAGAATTGTCGCCTCGACCTTGGAACATTCGATTCTGTCTCGACCTGAACCCGAAACCCAGGCCTCTAAGGAGCCACATCCTCCAGATCGTCGAGGTTGCGAGTCGTTTGGCTGCTTTGAGATGGCGGAAGCGCCAGGTCACGGTTGGGAGGGGGGTTCGAGGAATGAAAAGCCTGCACAGCGCCGAAGCTCTGAAGCCTTATCAAGTAGGTTGCTCAGCCCGATGGCGCCCTAAATTCTGAACCCTGAAATGGACATTTTGAAGTGTGGTCCAAGGCACTGGCACCCCGGCATGCACGATTCGTGGCACCATCGACAGCCTTTCCAATACACGAAAGAACAGAACGGTTTAGGCATAGGGCTTAGGGCAGAGATGTCTGCCGTGAGCTTATAGTAAACTTCGGTGTAATTATAGTAGACTCGACAAGTACGAGCTCATGCAGTCATGCTTGCATGAGAACAATGCCTGGGAACAGCAATACTCGGCAAGTTGCGATAAGCTCTAACAAGCACAGACATCTCTCTGGACCAACATAATTATTGTTAGAGTGAGGTTCTGCCGGTCGGATGCCACAAGTCAACGTATCATAACCTACTGGAATAATTCTTAGAACTATTCAGGTGCGGACCCCCAAATCCTAAACCCCAAACTCTGAACCCAGTGCCCCTGTGCATTGCAAGGCTGTCCAAAAGCCTCCCACTGCCCAACCCGTGGTGGCAGGGTCGTTTCTGGCTCGCCTCAGCAGGCGGGTTTCTGAAAGTCGGGGCTTCTTTTCAGGGTTTGTTGGGTTTGGGGGTTTAGGGCTTAGGGGCTTAGGGCTTGGGGGTTGAGGTTTGGGGTTTAGGGCTTTCGGTCTTGCGGTTGGTGACATCGGGTTCTTTTCCTTCGTGCATCCTCTCTCAGGAAAACCTCGAGAGTTGGGCAACTGCCACGAATCACCAAAATCTGGAATTGTGATTGTTGTGGGGGGTCCCCGGTACTGGCAAGCTTCTCCGCCTTGTTGAGTTTGAGGCATGCGGCTTGAATCGTTGTTAGAGGCAGGCCTCCCGAAACTACAATGCACTACCGTTCCTGTTATCTGTTGCTAGTGCTATTGCTACGACTATCCCTGTACCAACTCCTATGGCGATGACTCACTATGTCTATTACTAGTACCCAGCATCTGCCTGCTTTGGGTTTAGTGCAACCTAAGCCCAATCGTACCACATTTGCAGTGAGGCACCGTAGCTGTAGCAGCTGAAGCCATTCAGTGGGATTGAGGCCTGCCAGGGATCAGAGTTGCGGCACTTCGAGCATTTTCCGTGCCAGGCAGACCATGTCATTTGGAGGTGTTAACATGGTTCTGCTATGCTTTGCCACTGTTGTCACAATAAGCCGTGATGGTGAAACACAAGCCTTCTTCGTCAAGGGCCAGCAATCCCCGAGACCCTCGATTCCGTGCAGATTGCATGAAGCTTCACGACTCATGAGATTTGCCCCAGCAAGGGCTTCGTGTATCAGACTGTTTCAGCCACGAATGCTGCCGAATGCTTTTGAGAGTATCCTCTTTCACTTGGTTTCCTCGGCCCCAAGCAAAAATGCAGCATGTGAAGCGTATAAGTAAACCCGCAACCCCTGCGCCGGAAACACTTTGGCCCCACCAATAGCTCAGTAGGAAACCCTAAGCAACCTGACCGAAGCACGAGATTGCGGACAACCGCCGACTCGTTTGAGCCGCAGATCCAACGCATCCCGAAGCCTTACGCACCCAAAACATCAAGGACCCTAATCTCAATCAATTACAAAAAACTGTTATTACCACCACCACTACGACGACGAC